ATTCAAACCCGTGACCCTCAGATTGCGAGTCGAGCGCCCTAATCACCTGGCCATTCCGGGCCACCCCAGGAATAGGACAGGATCCCCATAACGTCTGCCAGCTAATCAGACATATGACTGTATCAATACTTAGAGGTGGGGGCTGCATACTCGTTACTGAATATCTTGCTAAATGCGATTCTTTCAGAAAAATTGATTCAATCAAACCTATGAACTCCAATCACTTTGATTTGAAGTAACTCATGCTCCACGTGTTATAACTAGCGTATATAGGTGTTAATAAATTGGTTAGTTTACTGTACTGAGTGAAGAAATGGCGCGTCAAAATCCTTAAGTTTGGTTCTTTTTCACCAGGCTGTTGAGATATAACTTAACTTTAAAATATTACCGCTGTAATTTTTCAGAGTAGACCAGTTTGTATATTAACAGACACGATCATTTCGTTATGTGCACATAGTACCAGTAGTAGTATTGTGTATAAATATATTTGCCAATCTTATTTTTTTAATCCAGGATTCAGTCTACATAGTTGCTCGTGTGAACATTACAGTTACAACTTTGTTTTGTTACACGATAAAGTCATACGATCTGTGTAAGCGTGCGTTATCTCTTTATCGTTAGTATCACATCCAGCCGGTGGACTTTGATGCAGTATATGTTTTAAGGCTATTATGTGTATATACTTCTATCTCGAAATGCAGTTATAAGGCAGAATACTTAGAGCAACCGATCGTGCCTGCAATCTTTCGTGTACTTCTTGAAAACTGGTTTTAGTTTCGGTCTTAGAATTGATTATGTTGTTTATGCACTTCCTTGCTACCGGTCCAAATTGTTCACCGTAAATGGTAACTTAAAAAATATATACAATTAAGAGATGTACCAAGGTAGAATGTTCGTTATCGATTATTTTTGTATGAGTTATTATCTAGTTAGATTGTTTGCCGTTTGGGGGAGTTGAGTTGCATAATTGATATTAGTCCTTGTGTGTTCAGGGTGACAAAATTTGCCTCTCGTGTGTGATCATGTTGTTAATAAAATAACTCCTAAGGTTAAAGTACTGATGAAAGAACTATTAGCCCTAAAATGTATTTATTTATTATTTCTTGAGGAAAAAAAAGTGAATTGCTGTAATTTATTATTTTCCTCAATAGCACTGCTAGAATCAGTTTACGCTTCGAATGCTTAACTAATCCACTATTCGTTCCGAATGGTCGAAAGTTAGCTTATCTAATACGTCACATTTCTGTATCTAGTGACCTCTGTTGGTGGCAAGTGACATATTTTAAACCTTAGTCATATAGCCTTTTTTTCATTTGTTCTGTAGGTACAGAAATGTAGAAAAACTGGGAAGTAAACAAAAAATATTGAAGATTAAGAAAAACAAGCTGTCTGAAGTGGTAAGTTTTAATCATACTAAGAGTGAGAAGCAGAAGCTATGTTAAATAAACTATATAACATAATCTTAACTAACTCAATGCATTGTTTCCATTAATTATTTAAGATAATTTTTACTTTATTTTTGCGTAAACATCACTGCTAGTACTCTTATTTAAAATTTAAACGTGGTTTTATATTGTAGCTCATTTCAAAGCAAAAAAGGAAAAATATCTGATGGTCTCGTTAAAGTTAATTGTCATATGAGAAAATCGTTACATTATTGAACGATTCTTCACAGTAAAACAAAAAGATCATTGAAAAAACGCGTTATGCGTAATTTTGTACAAACAAAAAATATTAAACAAAAAATTACACGAACAATAATCTTAACAAGCGTGTTTTATAAACAAAGCAAACTAAGTTAACATTTTCTAGGAATAATGTTATCTAAAGTACATTTTTATGTAAAGTTGTCTAAACTGAAAATCATTTGCGCATTGAATCACTTTAATAAACATGTTATGTCAGCATTTTATTAAACAGTCACTTAAACAGTAATCTGTTAACATTAGTTTAAAGTAACGGTTTTTTTTGTCAAAAAAAGTTAATTAGATCTGATATTTTTAATTTTTTTAGTGGTATTGGTATTAGTATTTTCAACCGAAAAGGCAACTTGTGCATGGGTTCTTATTATTTCTGGCAGTTATTTAGAGTTAAAAATAATTATTTCCGAAGAAATAATTACTAATCTGGGGTGCTCGAAGATTAAACAATCCTCCTTCACCCCGCGTGTGGTCTAGGAATATGGGCTTAACTTGAGAAAACAGGAAATTAATGCAGACTAGGTATGTAAATATAAAAAGGTAAACGTGAGAGTAACGGTAAACAATAAAAAGTGAAGAGCAAAGTAGACTAAACTAAACGGCCGATATCGGACAGATGGTCCATCAGGGCGGCGGGGATCTAAAAATCCCATGCCGAGAAT